GACTCTCTGGAGCGACCGTCAGTTCACCTCGTAGCGGGGAGGAGAAAATACTTTCTGAACTGTTGAAAAACAAGAAAATGTTCTGATGCTTCGTAGTTTTAAATGAGTAAAGTTATGTATTGAACTAAGGATTTTACTTTCAGATTCACAAAGAAATGTACATGTTCAATTCACCAGAGTGAAAAAGAAAAAATGAGCTAAACTATTTATTTCTCTCAACAGAGACCTCTTTATAGCATTATTTCACACCTCCCAATAATTGAAACCAAATTAATCATACTGTGCCTGTAATTGTTTGGAAAATATAAGCAAATGAAAAAAAAAACCTAATTAGCTCTGCTGACTGAACTAAGAGATGAGGAGCAACACAGAGCACAAGAGAGAAATAAAGAGATGTTATTAGAAAAGTTCGGTGTGCTGTGGGAACTCTGCTCTAACGGCTATTTAGGCATTCTTAAGTGTAGTTTTAATCTTTTGAAATTTTCTGGTGATATAGTTGGCTCTGCTGTGTGTTTTTTCTAGATTTGTTATCGGACCTGTAAAGGACTCTTCAGCTCCCAGGGACAGCAACACAATTTAAAATAGTACAGAACAACATGAATGGCTAAAAGAGAATAATAAAAAAAAAATACTTCAAATTTATCCCGTAATTTGGGTAGAATTTTTTCATGCTGCAATTTGAACAAACTACAGTTCAGAGTTATAATCCTTACTTAGGAATTGCAGCTAATGTGACCCCGGCTTTCCACAGGAGCCGTCAGCAGCACGTTACTGCAGCAGCACGTCATAGCTGCTGATAGGAACCGCTGTGGTCAACAGAACCTTTTCCACCGGAGCCGTCAGCAGCGCGAGTCGGCCGCGTCTCAGGAGCAGCATGTCGCGGCCTTTACGCGCCAGTTCTATTTTCTACACGCGACACCTCTGAAACGGGTCAAGTTCAACATTTTTGGGGAAGGAAAGACAGGAAATGGGACGCGGAAACGAAGAGAAGCTCCCGAGATTTTCAGAATAAAGAACGTACTGCCTTCCGGTTGCTTTACTTTTAAAAAAGGTTACCAACTGTGCGTCCCCGTGAGAAGTTATCACCTAGCTAGCGGTCTCCTTTGTTTTTCAGGTCCGTATTGGCGATTATAAAACGGACAGAACATAAAACACAAACCATGTTGTAGTTTTCTCCTGCTTGTTGTTGTGTTTACTGACGAAGTCACTCGTGTGACTTCGTGCTCGGTCGGTGACAGCTGCTCCCCTGCTGCGTCGCGTCTCGTGGGAAGGGCCAAGCAGCAGCTTACGCGAGCAAGACGTGCTGCTTCAGTAATGTGCTGCTGACGGCTCCGGTGGAAACCCGGGGTTACTCTACACACAATGTTGTCAGAAAGTAACTATAATAAATACTTTGAGTATTACAACGAAATACACATATTTTCTATATTTTGATTGACGATTACCGATAGTGAGAGCTAAATTCAACACTGACTTCTGTCAAATGCCTTTGTAAATCCATCAGAAACATGCGATATCAGATGAGTCCATTAGATCAATAATAACCAAGGTGCGTTATTTAAAGATGAGATCATCTTGAGTTTACATGAGCCAAACATTAGAAAATGCATGTTGGATTTATTCATTTATTTTTTGCACATTTCATGTAACTTCTGTAAACATGAGGGCTCCATTTAAAAAATTCACTCACTTATTTTTTCAGTACATGTGCAGTAGTTTCTGGTATAAATTAGGAATGCGACGATACCACTGTTTTCCAAACCGATACGATATTGATACTTGGATCTGAGTACTCGCCGATACCTATTACCAACATTGATTATTCTACCACATAAAAAAATGCTACGAATTGGAATACAGGTTTATTTTCTTATCTGCTCTCAGCAGGAAAAGACTGTGAGGTAGATAAAAAATAAAACGTATGAATAGAAATTATCACAAAACTAAAATATTCGGTGAACAGAAATAACAAGTTACAGTGAAGTCACTTTCAAGCAGCTGTATAGGTATCGGTTACTGGTATCTGTTAACTTTTACAGATACCAATAGGTATCGGTATCTGTATTGGCGCCGGCACCAGCATCGGTGCATCCCTGGTATAAATGAATGCCTCGTGAGTTGATCTCTTGTTTCAGGAGGTAAACGTGAGCCAGAGCAGAGCAGAGCTTCAGGCGGGAGGATTTGGAGTCTTATTTCCTGATATTATTATCCTGACGTTACAGGTGCTGCGATGTGCCCTTCCCCACCCTAAAGCGCTTTTATAGGAGACCCAGTCATCGAGCTAAATTGCCTTCCTTCTAGTTGAAGTCAGAGAAAGAGGCAATTACCCTTCTGCATCTGGACTGCAAAGGACTCAAATATGCAGGAAAGTATCTGGGCTGAAATAAATATAATACATTTTACACTTTGATTTTCTAAGTCGGGACTCCAAAGCTCTTTACAGTATACAACAAATACAATGTATTTACATGGAGCATGGGTTCAGGGCAAAGTCCTACCCCTGAGCCACTGTCGCTTTAAAACAATAAAAGCTTCTTCTAGTAACTGATGTTGGTCACAATTACAGTATATGTGATAAAATTAATACAACAAGAAATAAAAAAAAGACATAAATTTCAGCACTTCTGAATATCTCAGGGTGTTTCTGTAAAGTTTGTCTCTCCCACAACGTTATTCCTGTCTCCTATAGCATCCATAATAGCATCTATAATCAGCAGTGTTGGGAGTAACGCGGTACAAAAGTAATTAATTACTGTAATGCATTGCTTTTTGCTGTAATGTGGTAATGTAAGGCATTACAGGGAAAGAAAATGGTAATATTTACTCGGTACAATTGTCAGTAACGCGGTAATTACAATGCATTTTTAAACCCAGAATCAAGATGTGGTTTTCCTAAAAATTAAAATTGCGGAAAGCTCTAAATAAAGATCCGGTATCTACATATATTAAGTCATTTATGGACTCCGCTTTGCGGGCATTCTATGAGCAGAGAGGATGCAGTGGTGACGGCTCAAATACTCCAGCTGCGTCCTGCGCGCAGCGCGCGGCCGCTGTGATATTCACAAAATCGCTCCAACAAAATAATTCACTTGCGATCGTTCATATCAGCCCATATTCTCTGTACTTCCGTACTTTACTGACGTGCTTTGCCTCAGCTGAGTTCATAATCTGTGCCCTCGCCCCGTGATTTCAACTCATTGCTGCTGGAGCGCAGCGCATATGAAGCTTTTTATTTTTATTTTTTTGCGTTCGGTGGATCCCTTTGGCTGATTAGTTAGAAAGTAGGAAATCTAGGAAACAGTTTTTCTGGAAGACGGCGAAAACATGCAGCATGCAGGAAGGTTAGGGAGAGAAAGGGCCGGAAATTATTCAAATAAAATCAAGAAAACAAAACAAAGTGCTTGAAAAGAAAATATAAGTAGGTAGATTTGTCCCCAATACACATTTTTACCAGTGAAAAGCAATAAAATATAAACATTTGATATTTATACATGTGATAGAATGAGATCACCCCAGAAGTCTGTCCCACATCCAGGGCCGTGTCAAGGCATTTGGGGACCAAGGCAAAATAGGCTTGGAGCCCCCACCACCTCACTCCCTGCTCAGTTAATCTAAGATGGCAGCGTGCTGAGAGTACAGATTGTTGTTGCTTTTATTTAATAAAGAACTGTTATTATATCTGACTGTTTTTAACAGCAATGCTCAGACACCACATCACCTTAATCTGGATGTGTCATGAGTTCACTGAGCATCACATGACCTAATTCATATTGAAATTGTTTTGGTAAAAGTAACTTAAAGTAATGCAAAAGTAGTGTAATGCCTTACATTTTAAAATCAGTAATATTATAATGTAATTAGTTACATTAAAATGAGGGTAACAAGTAATAAATAATGCATTACAGTTTTGAAGTAACTTGCCCAACACTGATAATCAGAGACTATATGTAGATGACATCATTTGGCTACCTGTAGTGACTCTCAGCATGTAAAGCTCTAGGAGTTAACCACACAATTGGTGTGTATAATTTACAGAAACACTAATCGTAATTAAGAACATTTTCTCATGTGATTATAGTTTTCATTAATAACATAAAAGTCACTGTTCATGAAGCGCTGTTACATCCATCTTGTTATTGCCAAACCAATGTTTTAACACGAACAGCAATTTAAAGGTATTTGTTGTGTCTTGGGGCTTTCTTCTGTGTACAAACATGTCTTTCTGGGTTTTCCGAGTCTTTTACAAAATGTTTGTGTCATAAATGTGAAATCCATTACACTTCTTCAAGGCCAAATTGACTAAATGAATCTTAACTGTGAGGAACTCCTTGTAGTTTTTTCTAGCTCGGCCTTATAAGGGCTTTACGTCTCTGTCAGCGATCGGTTGCAATTGAATTTGGGAAAAGACTGATGGATACACAGGCTGCACAAACTCCTGATCTTCGTAAATGCACTTTATGTTCTCTTAAAACTGCGTGTGACAATGGCTGCATCAGAAACCCTCTAACCACAACGGCTGCCATGCAAAAGGAGAATTATGAGATGTATTGGGTACGTGATCAAAGGCCGACTATTTACAGCCACTCTCGGCCTGCAGACTTGACGACCAATGGTAAGCACAGCGTACGGTACAGGGAAGCTCTTCCATCACACTTTTACTGCCCATCACTGCAGCTGTTAAGCAGGGGAGATGGCAAAGCTTTTAGCTGACTGAGATACCGTCCTGCTGGATGGCCTGTATGGGCAATGCCATCAGAAAAGTGAATGACTGGGAAAGATAAGGGAAATGGAGGCTGGGGAGGAAAAAGGATGGAAGTGAGAGGGGGTGGGGTGGGGGGGAGTTGGGTTGATGTCCGCCTGCCGGCTGTCAAAGGTAAACGCTTCGGCTTAATGGAGACTGATATCATGCGACTCATTCAGGGTTTTGTGAATAGAAAGAGCGAGACGGTGACTAAACTAAAGTGGGGTGAACTGTAAAGGAGCATAAAAAGAGTTCTTACCTGGAGCAGCCAATAGCACCTACGATGGAAGGTAGGGATGATGGAGGAGTGGACGTAGCAGCCATACAAACACTGGAAGGAGCAGAGAAAAGGGGACAGAAAGAGGACATGAAATTAGAGTAGCATGGAGGAAATAGTTTGACCTCTCAGCTGACCAAGGCAGCTGTGATCTCTGAACGCCTAACCTTAACCCTCTGTATCATAACTCCCGCATGGACCTGCGACCATATGGTCACACCATTGTTCATGAAAACAAAGACGATGACCTGGAGGCAGACAGCGGGTGAGATGGACCAGTGAAGTCCTCAGCAGTGCCCTACTATCTCTATGTGTCTCCTTTACTTACCCACTTCTAATTCTTATATTTCTTATATTTTAGTGATAAGAAAATGACCTCTACCCAACCCATTAAGGACAAAATAGATGTTTATTTTTTGTTTGTTTGTGAAATAGAACAACTAGAAGGATTCTAGTGAAACTGGAAGGGTAAACACTGGATCTACATATTGACTGGATTCAGTTGAGCTAACAACCAAATCTGAGAAGACCACAATACCTTATCAGCATCAGCAAACATCAACTGGCTATAACTCAGTTATTGGACAGCCATTGACCTTAGATCATCAAATACATTCAGCACTGGAGCCAACCATGAAGCAACGGATGGTTCATGGTTACTGATTCACCTCAGTTCATCTACACTTGGCCAGACCTTATTCGGTTTTACAGGTATTGAGCCATGACTTGGTGTTGGCCTTGACTATGAGTCAGACCTGTCTGTAGTGTCATCAAAGTATCTCATGAAGTACTGGATGGATTTCGATTTAACTCTCATACACTATCCTTGGAAAAACAACTGCCTGCCTTCTGCCATCAACCTGCTTTAAGAGGACCACCATCCACCACAAACATGAATAATAATAAAAAAAGACCTAAATTTACATGCTGTGAGTCATTCACAACGTAATCCCAGTGCTATTTCGGCCAACTCATCAGAGTCCAGACACATTCTACTCAAAGTTTCACTAGCACATCTGTGTAGCGTCATGAAATGTCCTGTTTTTGACCTAAAGGTCATGCTCTGCTGCGTCTGCTCGAGTGGAGACATAATGTCTCAGACACAGGCCTAATCTTCATGAGATATTGGCCAAGGTCTTTCATGCCTCTGCTCATCAAAACTGCTTCACCTCTTTACAGCTCAAGGCAAGACGGAGAACTCTTGATAAACACATAATCAAACAACGTTTGTTATTACTAATTATAACGTGAACCCAATGTTCAATCGATCTGTGAAATGACAATGTTATTACTTGATATTATAATCCTGTGATCAGTAGTATTTTACAGGTAATTATAATCTTGGACAGCTGCACTAGACATGTGATGACACATAGTAATGCTAAAGTCACATGACACATTTCCTTTTGTCTGATCCAATCAGAACCTTCATTTCTGAGGCGAGGCGGGGTTTTCTGTGGTGTTTGTATAAACCCTCTTTTGCATGTCCCACGCCAACTTTTCTTTAGTTCAAAGTGTTCTAGAGAAGTCTTGGACCGGCCATCTGGACTTCCTCTTCAGCCATAAAGAACCTCGACAAGCTGGATAAAATCTGTTGCACGTTACACCTGACCGCAACGGTTCCTTCAGAATAAAAGCTGAACCTCACGACCCCTTCAGGGTCTCGCTGACGCCAATAATAATCTGTCGTGACCTGGAAGCATTCCAAGACTAGTTTGGTCGGCGCCGCTGCTTTTCTACCGGCTTCGGTACCAAGGAGGGTCCAAGAGGACCTCGGCATTCTGGATCTAACGGAGGCTTCCCCTGGGGTACGTAGACCGACAGATGGCGTCTCATGTGTGTTATAAATCTCCTACTAATGTTTAGAGCAAAACATTCACTCCCACTCAGAACTAACCGCTTCTCCGGATCCGCTGGTTCTGATAACCACATTCCACACACACATACATCATTCATCTCACGTCTCACTCCACCTTAGTCCATCAGTACACAGAGTGTTACAGTTAGTCTTGTTTAAACTGTGTTGAAATAAATCTCTTAACTATTTGAAACCTGACTCTCTCTCTTTCCTCGGAGTTAATACAAAGTGTCGCTTAATTCCTGCAATAAAAAGTTCTGATCTTCTGGTTAAAATATTCAAAGATCCATCAGATTGATATTTCATATTTCTATGGAATCTCACATTTTATGGTTCATAAGTAAGATGTAGACTACACATCTTTACATCTGTAACATCATCAGTTCCCAACAGAAGATAATCTTAGCTCAACATTTTGCTATTAGAGCTGCCAGGTGATGTAAGGATTCTAGACCTTTAGTTTAGGGATGTCCCGTTCTGATATAGGAAGTAATTCGATATCGGCCCAAAATCACTGTATTGGACTATATCGGACTGCATCAAAAATCTCCGATACAAGTAGTCCGTTAAGGGTCACATTTTTGCAATCAACGGTTAAAAAGAATTGTCATTTTTTCATACTTTCTGTTCTCCGATTGAGTAATACTGCTTTATCAAGCCTTTCATACATTCCACATTACAAAATAGGTACATGCATGTATGATTTGTGCTGATATCGTATCGGATTGATATCAGTATCGGCCAATACTGAAGTCTGCAATACCGGTATCGTATCGGAAGAGAAAAAGTTGTACCGGGACATCCCTGCTTTAGTTGCACGATGATGTGTTGGAGCTTGACAGAAAAGTAAGTTGTTTCTCATTTTCAGCCAATCAAATGAAAATGTTGGACTTGGTCATTACTTAGAAAGGTGTCTGTCAAAGACACACAGATGGTTACTGTCACTTTCCTTCTCCAGCAGGAAAATGCTTTAACCCCAAAATAAAAATAAATACCCCCCAAAAAACAACAAATTTATGGAAGCATCTAATACAGCAGCCCGGCAGAAATGTGAAACTACTACATGGCTGTGGAGAGGCAGTAAATGGATGAGATATAAGGAAGCTGGTTGCTGTCTGCATCTCATCAGGTTCTACAGACTGCAGCATTTGCAGCTATGCCGTTCGGCTGGTTGTTAACGGTCCAGGAAAGTCAATTATCAGACGAATAAAGTGAAGTCTGTTCTGGTAGAAGATGCTTAGGTAATGAGTAAAGTAACTTCCTAAAAACAGCAGTGAAAGTAACTAACTAAATGAGTAGCCTAACACTGCTTAAATCTCGTCTTGCTTGAAAAGGGCTCTTGACAAAATCACCCTGCAGAGGAAGCCAGAGCATAACTAAAGCAGTGTTATTAATATCCTTATCGTAAACAGATAATACTGTGCCTGGGGGCTCATTCCCACGGAAGGAGCAAGGCAGGGCTGATAACGCCTCCTGGTATCTGGCAAAGAGGCTAGGAGACGTTCTTCATCAGCCAGGACCAAAGGTAAAATGCAGTAAAGCAGCATGCACTGATAGACCGGAGCATGGCAGCATACGTTCAGTTCTTTCTTCTCCTCCATCCTTCTGAGGAGACTCATGGCCTTGGCTCCCATGGGACCAGAAGAGAAGGTGGACGGTTCCTTGTACATACCAACAATATCAGTCCACTCAGCCTTCATGGGGTGGAATGTTTTGAAATCCAAAATAGAAAAAATTAAATAAAACATCCATATGATGGGGAGGACTGAGCTTCACACAAACTCTCTTTGGTGTAAATGTCTGATAAGAAATCAGGAGAAATCACTGCTGGGATGATCCCAGCTCTGTTAGAGAAACCCCACCTGCACATGTACATGTGCATGCACAGCCAGGCCCTCGTCCCAAGACACGCAGGTGGACGGGCTAACACGGGCTTAATTATTCAGCAGCTGCACTGTATGTGCTCAATAAGTGAAGGTGGGTTTCCTGGGGCACCGTGAACGAGTAAGCCGCAGAGGGGGGACAGGCATGGAGGGTGTCTTAATATGTGGATGCTGGACTACATAGCTTGGAGGACCAGATGATAAATAGGTTCCTTGAAGTGTTCTATGTGCTTGTCTTGTTTAATTAAAACCTTGTTAAAATGAGCAGGGCTTGCTGAGGAGGTTGGTCTGGATAAACATTGATTTCCCAACATCAAACTCTCTGATGAATGTACCGCTACAAAGGCAAGGCACACCAACGAGAAGACGTATTACATCACGGAGAAAACACAAACAGATCTTGCAGATACACACGCCGCGCACACGTGTGTGTGTGTGTGTGTGTGTGTGTGTGTGTGTGTGTGTGTGTGTGTGTGTGTGTGTGTGTGTGTCAGGCACATTCACAAAACAAGAGAACAATTCAGAAACATCATCAGTCCTGTCTGTTTCTCCAGGTGTTCCATTGTTCGATTCACACCCATTTGTTAGCTGATTTCTATGCCACCAAACTCAGCTTGTGAGAGTTTGAGGTGGGGAGCTCATGCAGACTGCCTCCTTTTCTGATGTTTTTGTACTCTCATCCGTTACAGCTGTCTGGAAGAGGATGTGTGCCTCCTCCCACTCCTATAACGCCACCATCCATTACTCCGCGCTGGCAATGGACGGACGCTTCCTCCCACACCCTCAGTGGGATGAACATCACATTACAAAAACAGCAGCTACACACATTTCCTCCATGCAGGTTTGTGACTACTTATGACACAAACTACTTTTTTGTGCTTTCAAGGGATTAGTGATGCAACGCTGTGTCCTGATCTATGCCCTGTTTACATAATTCACCGCAGCCTTCTGCTGCAACTTTTAAGAGGAAAGTGCTAACAAACAGAAATGCCATTGTTGTCTATTCAACGCTTGGCATTGTGTGCCAACGTGGTGGAACTCTAGCTTTGCTTTTGTTTTCTCAGCACACAGGAAGTCACAAACTTTTGTAAAGTTGATTCAGAACTTACAAGTTTAAATATTTACTTTAGTGGTTTACTAAACAGGGTTTGCATCATTTATTGCCATCCATAACTTCTGTATGAAATCTTCTGTTTTAGCTCTTCCCTCTGACAGGAATATAGATTATGTCATAAAAGACTTAGCAAACCAAAAGGACTTCAAGATAACATGGCTTTGCATCGTGATCCAATGTTTGCTTGCAGGGAATTTAC